CCCCCCCCCTCCCCGATAGCAGCTGTGCATGGTTTTTTAAGTCGGTCTTTAACGTTGCGAAAGGAACAATAAAATGAAAGGCAAAACCGGCATCTTAAAACTTGGCAAGTGAAAGCAGCTTGGACTGGCAGCCAAGAATCCTGCTGTGGTGCAAAAAGAATAGCATCCACGAAGCCACCACAATCCGGGGTTTCTCTTCTTTTAACAATCGCGTCGGCAGAGAGAAATAATTATTCCTTGTATCAGTGTTAAAAGAGTCAAAAAGCTCAAAAAGCTTGCTTGGTGAACCTTCTCCAAAGCAGGTAACGATGCTCCTATTTGATTCTGTTTTATCAAACTTTAATTGGGGAAGGATCTGGATGTGATAGCTGATCAGTTGGAGGAGTTGGTGTGTGTTACTAACTGCTGTTACAACCTCCACGGTGCTTTTATTTCTCTTGGTGGCTTTGGTGGGAACAGGACTGGCAAACTTCTGAAATGTTTGTGCTGCAAGGAATGTTTTATTTCCACGGATTTCACTCGTGGTGCCGGAGGAAGGGTGGGGGGGAGGGCGGGAGGGGGTTGATCCAAAGGTGTAACGTGGAAAAAAATATCATTAAAAAAAAAAAAACCTGAAAAATGAAGATATTGGGAGGGGGGAAGTAATTTCTCTCTTAGGACGTTGCCTGTTCCTTTTGCTCCTGAAGCTTCTGTCGTTCCTATAGAAAGATAGAACTCATTTGTTGAAAATATGCCATGGAAATATCCATAAATATTTTGTCTTCCAGGATACATTCCTTGAAGAGTTGGGCCTAACAAACAATATGGCAGCGCACGGGCGAGAAGAAATCTTGCAGAATGCTGCTGCTGAGGTAATTTGGTTTCTCATCCATTCCCCAGTCAGTATCTCCCTTTTCCTTCTAATTTCTTAAAATTATTTGAAGCACAGAAATCCTTAAAGAATTGGGAGTGCAGGTCTTTAAACCTAAGATAGGGTGCATGTGTGTTTATATGTGTATATATATATATATATTTATGGGCCTGATTAGACTGCGGGGAAGAGGTGAGGGAAAAGAATGGGAATTATTTAGCAGTGGTGTTTCTTATTTGTCTTATTTTTGAAATGGCTGCAAACAGCTTTTTGCTCAGGCACACAATGCATTCCATAATGATCGATTTTCCTGGACAGGGCATTTATGCTTTGTGGTTTGCAAGAATACCACCCACAGACCAGCCCCAGTGCTGGGTCTTTAGAGACTTGATTTCTGCAATATTTCCTTCTATATTCCTCTGGCTATAAATCTCTAACAAGCCAGTTTTATGCTGGGTTATTACTGACAAAAGTGTATATTACTTTTTTTGGGCTGTCCCGTGTTCTGGTACCTTGTCGGTCCTGAGTTCATTAATATATTATAAAATGAATAATGAAGCAAATTATGCTCAGTGTAAGGACATCACAAGCCTTAATATTAATCCCGTGCTCCTTAATGTACAGGTTGAAAGTTTTTGTTTGCAATTTTAGCATTTGAGACAAATCCAGTGTGGTGGTGATTGATTTGTTTGCCTGTCATGGATTTTCTGCCACTGTGTGTATGTTCATCAGGTTTTCAGAAGGTACAATAGCTGGGTGATTAATCAGTGGAGGGAAACGTTGCAAACCCCAGATCTTGTATAATCTATGGCTCTCTGAATATATTGGATATAAGTGGAATTCATGTTTAAAAACCAGGGCTCGTACAGGAAAAAAATAAATTTAAAATCTGTGTCTTTCAACAAACAAAAAGATTCATTTGCTGCTGCCTTTGTCAAATCGCTCAAGAATTTATCAGAGGGCTCAAGAGCTGTCCAGGAGTTTGTTTCCCAGAGTGTATGGGTAGGAGCAGGTTGGTTCCAGGGTAATTTATAACATACAGGTGCCACTGAATGCCACCCCTGTGCCAGCGACCCGCCCTCGCCCGGGGCAGGAATGCAGGAGGGCTCACTCAGATTTATGGTGGGACCTGCTGCAGGGATTTATTTGGCATACCTGGAGCTTTTCTAGGCATAGCTAGTGCTGCTTTCCCCTTTTTCTCCCCCTTTTTCACCCAGTGGAGCTCTGCTGGTGGATCCCAACACTCCTTTTGTTTTGGAAAAGCCAATCAGGTGGCGAAGGGGGTGGGAGATGTGGCAGAGATCAACCCTCCTTTAGGCAAGGAATTAAAGGGGGGGGTTTGCTGGGTGGGTCAGCACCTCCCAGCTGCCCTCAAATGTGTGCTGGGCTCCCCCAAGGTCTGTTTTTGGGTGCCTGGAGCTTCCCTGCAGCCCAGGCAGGACTGAGGACACGTGTCCTGGACCACGAGGAGGGATGTACAGGCCACCCAAATGTTGCAGCTTGGTTTCCTTCACGGGCTTGAGCTGTCCCAGTGGTTAGAAAATGGGATTAAAGGGTAAAAAAAAACCCAAACAACAGGTTTTGGAACTAGAAACACTGAGTAAACCCATAACCTCCCCCCAGCATTGCAGTGAGATCATGACTTTTTTCCTGTCTTATATGAAAAAAAATAAAGTATTTCTTTGCCAGCAGAGAGACATGGAAATTAGTTTATATACCTATAAAAATAAGCAAATTATACCTACCTTAATGTAAAGGATATTAGGGTCAAAATGAATGTAGTGAATATAAGGGAAAATACACTGCCTTATGCAGTTTTGCCTAAAGAAAAATTCCTTGCCACTGCAAGAAGTCCTGGTACCTGCAGCAGCAGAATTCCTGGCTCCTGACAGTTGTGCCCATTAGACAGGGCAAAGGGCAAAACCTGCATTTTTAACCTCAGGTTCCCGGGACTAAATGAGCTTTGTAGATGGAGGGCCCGGGTTATTTTTGGTCGGGTCACATTTGTTGTGTTCCCTTTGCAGCTCCCAGGGCACAATACGTGTGGTTGTGCAGGATGTGGCTGTTCCTGCAGGGACCACGTGCTCCCTGCCCCACTGCCTCCAGAGCTCCCTGACTTCTGGGGGGCTCCTGAATCCCGTTTTGCCTCCAGCACGGAAGTTATCCTGGTTTTTCAAAGATGCTCATCCCCTGCAACATGGATTTTGAGTGCTGAGAGCTGGACACTTTTAAGGTAAGTGTCATAGGAGTCTAAACTTAGGGGATCAATTTAGGCAACCTTTGGACAGATGGTGAAAGTTTAGCATCCACTGCTGGGAGTTCCTTGTAGCCCAGCCCAAGCAGTAATTCCAAATAAAGGAAAATTGTATTTTAGAATTGCGTATTTGCCAGGCTGGAAAGGTTGAAGTGATTTATTTTAAGAACCTCCACGAGAAGTGGGGGAATTTTCTAAAAGCCTCCAAATAACAAAATTCTTTTCCAAGTGTGGACTGTTTCATTTTATGGAGAATAACACTGACTTGCATTAATACAGTTTGTCTCCTGAAGAAGGAGAAGAGGTAGAACGTGAAAAGTTTGTGACACCTTAAGCAACAGTTGATCTCACTGATTTGCTCTATGAGGAGCTCACAGCCAGGCTGCTTTTCAGCCTAATTCCCCACCAATAAAATGAGAAATAATAGTTACACAGGAAAGAAAACTTGGAAACTTCAGGGGAAGGAGGGGGCACTTCTTACTTGCAGTGGCAAAACTTTGTTCCACCACTGTTTTTCAAGACTTATTTGAGGTATCCTAAAGAAGTTTTACATTTGTCTGTGTCATTTTAGGAAGAAATGCAGAGAGCTGGAGTGAGGGGAAACTTATACAGAGTGAAGGGGGTTTTTTGTTCTCTAAAAACAGAATTAAAATAGAACCTCAGACCAGTAATGACTTCTCTGAAAGCTAAAACAACTCCTAGGCAGTTGTTTCTTCTTTCTGCTTTAACCAGGCTGCCAGAATGGAAACAGGACAACTTTTTTTGCAGGGTGGGGGGGGTGGCTGTGCGTTGTCACTCTGTTTACATACAAAAACTTTGCTGTTTTATAACTTGCTGCCCTGTCAGGGATGTACCTCCAACGCTGGCTGTTGATTCCTCGGTTCTGTGCAACTCTGTCCAGCAAAGCACTTACGAGAAAGAGCCACGCATCTGCTGGATTGTGTTTGGTTTGAAAGTCATTTTCGTTTTGCTGATTTTTTTTTCTTTCAAAAGGTTCCAGGGGGGTGCAGGAAACCGTAGCTTGTGTTGTAGCAAAGTCAATAAGAGACTGTGCCCCCCCCCGTCCTCCAGTGGAGGGGTTTGAAGGTGCTGAGGGAATGAAGGCTCCTCCTCACTAACAGCTCGGGTATTTCGTTTTGCAGGAGTGGTTTTTTCCTCCAAAAAATCGAGCCCCAAACCTTGCAAATGACAGCAGAGAAACCCTGCCTGGGGCCACAAACCCGTAGATCCGAACTTGTGGTCATATTCCACACAAGCTTGTATCTATAGGTATGTGTCTGTCTGGCAAGTGCACAGGGTTGTGTTGCTGCATTTAACCTGACAATGTTCTGCTTTGCTGTTTTTGTCTTTCCTCTAATGCCTTTTTTTTCCCCTCCTCCCTTGTTTGTTTTGGTTTTTATTTTTAATTAATTTTCTTTTTAAGGAATATAAACCAGGAGCTGCGACCCTCGCTCTGCAATTACCATCTCAGCTTTGGGTGGTGTTAAAATACACTCGTGCAAAAAAAAACCAAAAAAAACAACAGCAGCTCGTTTGTGCCTGGGTGAGATGGGATGGGGGAGTTAAATTTGACATCAGGCTGAAGAAATTAAACCTCAGCTTCCTTCTGCCTCGGTCTGGCAGTGGGGACGTGGTAGGGAACGTTCCTGGATGGTGAATTCCGAGCTCGTTGGGAAGCAGATAAGGTTGTTTCATTTATAAAGTAACGTGGGTCTGTTCTTTCTTTGCTGAGTGGCAGCAATTTGTTTGGGACAGGAACAGTCACTTCTGTTCCTTTATACCCAGGAATCCCTGGGCACACTGCAGCTCTGGGACACGGGAGGGGATTGGCCCTGCAACTCCTATTCTCTCTCAAAAATGAGTTTATTGTAGAATCCCATTCCTTCCAATTTCATGGTATTTATGTCTTTTAAAATAGCTTTTAAGGGAAAATAGTCGTGCTGTAAACTCCAAAAGAAGTCATAGAGCAGGAAAAAACCCCACCATGGAAGCAGGCAGTGTAAAACCTTCTGCACAAAACTAACCTTTAAAGTTGTGAAAGTGGAACAATTATTTTCGAAGGAGTCATTTTTTTTTTTAAAACCCCGACGTACAGTTTCTATATGAAAATAATTAGGCTGTAAACTCAAAATAAAGTCTGACTGTTTCTTTCCAGCAGCTTTTCAGTGTTAATTCTCCCAAAGATTTGCTCTGCATTTCCACTTTTAAATTTCTCTGGGTTCGAACTTGGCCGCTTTGACGCATTTTGCCGTCCAAAAAAAGAGGGTTTTTTTTTTTCCTCCTTGCTGAATTTCCAGGGTTTTCTATGTGTTTTCTATTTACTATAGAAGCATAAAATGATGTCAGAGAAGTCTAATTACTCTTCTTTCTCCCTGTGATTGAAAGTGGCTTTAAAAAAGGGAACAAATCCCACAGTTTGGCGTCTGTGGGACTGTAAATTGGGGTATAGAGGCTGGTGGTCAATATTCCCCTCCTATATGTATATATAGGATAAATATCTTTCAGGTTTGGGTGCTGAGGGGCCACATGGAAACCTGGTTGTGGGATATTACCCAGAACAGGGGCCAGATCTGCTCTGGGATCTCCACTTGGGCTTTGCTGGTGGATGTTGTTTCATCCATAGTGGGATGAGGAGGGAATTATTGGGCTGGGATAGAAGCAGGATGAGATTGCATCTAGTTTTGAGAGTAAAAAATTTGTTGGTTTTTTTTTTTTTCCTGAGGGTCTGTTAATATTCTGTGTTGGTTTTGAGTTTTTTATTTAAATATCTAATTTGCTGTGTTAGATATTCACTATATTAGATGTACAGTGAATATTAGAGGCCTGTGTTCTGGCTCTGAAGGAAGAATGGGCTCATTTAGTCTGCCCTCCAAGGAGAAAGGAGGTGGCCAAACCCAGGTCCCAATATAATCCATATTTCTGTATGGTGGTCTCTTCTCTGTAAAGCCATTTGGAGACATGGCAAAATATGCTGAGAACAGCCTGGAATTTGTCACAGATATTCCCAGAGGATGGCACTTCAGGTGGCATTGCTTGGAGAGAGCCAAGAGCCCATGGCAGGGGAACTGGGCACGCTTGGTCCCAAAATGAGGTACCACAGTTTGGTTTGAAAGCATTTTTTTTTGGATTAGAAAATCAATATTTTATTTTTTTTTCTCTGTAAAATATTTTAGTGCAGTTTCTCACTGAATATGTTGGGACTTGCTAATAAATACCCTTTTTTTTTTCCCCCCCTCTGGTGAGAGACTTGATTTAAAGACAGAACTTCAGAGAGGTGCCATCAGAGATGGGGTGAGATGCAGGGCCTGTGCTGCTCTGAGGAGAACCACTGAGTTACATCCTGAGCCTGAGCATTTTTCTGGCCTGTGCTTTATGGGGCAGGTTAAACATGCCCAGGGAAGCCTCTTGAAGGCTGTTGTCCTCTGCAGCAAGAGGTGCTGCTGGGAGGATGCCAAAGAGGGCACAGCACCACCAGCACGGCGTAGGGAATTCAATAAATTCAATGGAACGTGTTCGATGCGTTTTACTGAATTTTTAAAATTTATTTTAGCTCGTCTCTTGCTAAACTGCCCCGTTGTTCTTTTGAACTGCGGCCTCCAATATTCTCCCCCCCTCCCTTTTGTTTTTCAGCTCAGCCTTTTGAAAAGGGACTGGGTTGTGGTTTTTTTCAGCCTTAATTTGTGTTTCTTTTCTCTTGGTTGTGTTTCACTGCCCTTCGTTACGTTTTCGAGTGAAACCGGGGTCTGACAAAATGATGTGAAGAACCTTGAAATGTGTCTTCCTTTTTAGGGTGGAAAAAACTAATTGGAGCCTGTGGAGTTTCTACCTGTTTGTTTCTTGCGAGGTTTGGGGGTTTTTTCCCCTCTCACTTTGTGGATAAGGAGCTTTAAATTTATAGAATCAGCTGGGTTGGAAGGGACCTCCGAGATCATCAAGTCCAACCCTTGATCCAACCCCACTGTGGTTCCCAGCAGCTCTTCCCTGAGGAAGCAAACCAAAGCTTTCCCAAAGCAGACTCCTCTTTTTTCTTTTTTTTTTTTCCCCCCCAGATTTTGTAAATCATCCCTTTTTCCCCCTCCAAATGATAAGACCTGTTGCTGACAGCTCCCACTGAAAGCACCTGGGAGGTTCTTGCAGGCCAAGATGTTGTGTGGGGTATGAAAATGAATATATTTTGGGTGCTCCCCCCTTTTCCCAGCCTGGTGTGGAGCACAGTGGGCCCTTGTCAGCAGAGGAGCACACAATAGCATTCTGGTAATTAGAATAACCATATGCAGTGGCAAATGGGATTCACGATAAGCAGAATGTAATTGTGTACCCTGGAATTTGAACCGTATCCAAATACTCTTATTCAGATAATCAAATCTGGTTAAACTCTTAAAAGGCAGATAAATTTCAGTATTCTGGTTATTTCAGTAATCTGATTTTTTTTTCTCCCTCCCCCCATTTTGTTTATTTGCTTCTAATCAGCAAGGGAGAAAATGAGGAGAGGATGTTCTCAGGGGAGGAATCCAAGACTAAGTAAGATACCTGCCCTTGAGCCAGGGAGTCTCCATGATTTGGGAGCATTACATGAGTAACCACAGCAATCTGAAGGTGGAGAGGTGTGCCTGCAGGTGGACTGTGGGAACCTTTGGTTGTACATGATGAAATCCAGCCTCACCAGTCCACCCTGGAAGTGGCACCAACTTGGAAATCACCTGTGAGTTCCTTTATTTTAAGTGTGCAGGTGAAACCACCTTTGGCTTCAGGTCCTGCAGGATCTCAAACAAGAGCTTTCAGCCTGGGCTCACCGAGCTTCACTCCAAAAGCATTTCTCACTACACAGCAGGCCCAGACTAAGCTAAAGAACAGGTTCTGGAGTTATTTAGAGTCATCAGCATTTAATCCTTGTGCCACCTCGCCCACCAGCATCCCTGATGCCCCCTCAGATCCAGCACAGGGCATCTGTATCCTGTTGTCCCACCCCGAGCTGATCCTGTGCCCCAGCTGCTCCCAAAAGCTCCTTTTGGTTCAGGGGTGAGAGCGTGGCCACCCTTCCCCTAGAAAGCACCAGACACTGAAATGTAATATTGAGTAAATCTTCAGATTGCTGTAATTCTTGCTAAAAGTTGAGGCAGGGAGGGTTTTTGTGATGTGTTGAAAAACTTTGGATAGCTTTCAAAATATTTGCTCGCTCTCAGTTTCAGCTGAGCCCAGATGAGGCTTCTTGCCCTGTTTTGCAGACTCCTGAAGTTCCAGCCCTGTTTAGTGTGTTTGCCAGACTTCTAGGAGAGCTCTCTGAGCTGCAGTAAACCTTTGAACCTCTTGAGGTTCCTCATCACAACCAAGTTCTAATAAAAAAGTTTCTTCAAGCGAAGGTGAAGGGGTGAGGTGACCGGAAGGAATCGTGTCAGCGTTTCCAGTGTAAAATCCCTTCTGCCTGAGGTTTAGGAAAATCAGCTGTTAAAAAAAAAAAAAAAAAAAAAAAAAAAAAAAAAAAAAAAAAAAAAAAAAAAAAAAAAAAAAAAAGAAAGAAAAAAAGATCACTCCAGGCTGAAATTTGGCAAACAAGATTTCAGACCTCAAACTGGAACAGTGTCATTTGTGGGTTTGGGTATTTATTTTTCACTCAATGGCTTAAGGAAACACATTTGCTTCATGAGTATTTTCTGCTTCCCACTCCCTTGCTTGGCAAGCCCTGCCTGGGATCTGAGAGTGAAGGTGGGTTCTTCCTTCTTCTGCATCGGTCACAGCCCTAAAGATTCAGAGCCAAAGCTCAGCTGATGATAATAACAAAAATTCAGCTTCCTGAACACATCTGTAGTGAGTGGCCATTGCTGGAATCCTTGTGGTCTTGTTCATATCTTGTCCATATCAATAGGAGGTCTGAAAATGCATATAAAGTGTGATATAGGGGATTAATACATTGAGGCACTGTTTTCTGTGTCATTATTTGGGAATATTCTGCCCTCTCAAACCCTGTTTTTCTGTGTATTGTGACTAAATTGGTGTGAAGTATGTTCGAAAAGAGTGGGACGTTCCAGCCAGTCAATCCTCAAAATCAGTTCTGGATTGGAATTCTCTCCTTGTTCTTGGAGAAATTAAATAACAAATTTAGAATTACACCAAAGTGAGGTGGGGAAATGAGGTTTGGGAATTCTTCTCTCGGCTGAAGGGAACAAGCAGTAAAACAAGTGATGCTGCTGCATAACTTCCTTGCCCAGAGTAAAGGTTACACCTTGATCTCAGGGTGTCCTCTGAGGGCAGTGGCATGGGCTGGTGCCTGGATCTGTCTGGGGAGAACTGCTCCAGTAACAATGAAAATA